GATGGTCAGAGTGTGGCCTTACCTTGTCTAATCGCTGCCCACATTTTATAAAGGAGAAACACAGTCCTGGGGTCCGGGGTTTGTCAGGGACAGAGCTGGACCCAGAACTTGGGCCTCCTGGCACCACAGCTCAGCCTCAAGGTGTCAGAAGGCCAGGCCCGACTCCTCCGAGAGCTGCGTTGTCCCCGAGAACTTCCTGTTGATGGCGATGTCCTAATCCGCCCTCTTCAGTGTGGTGGTTACCAGCCACGTGGGGCTCCACCTGAAATGTAGCTATTGTGGGTGAGGAACTGAATTTTAAATTTTACTTACTTTAACTAGCTCTGGCCACTTTGGCTCAGTGGATAGTGCCCACCTGCAGACTGAGGGGTCCTGGGTTTGATTCCAGTCAAGGGCATGAACGTTGGCTGTAGGCTCTCAGCCCTGGTCGGGGCGCATGCAGGAGGCAACCAATCGATGTGTGTCTCTCACAGCGATGTTTCTCTCTGTCTTTCCCTTTCTTCCACTCTTTCTAAAATCAATGGAAAAATATCCTCCGGTGAGGATTAAAAAAAAAAAAATTTAAGTAGCCACATGCGGTTAGTAGCTACTGTATTAGACAGGGCAGCTCTAGAGCTGGAAACCGTTGGTTTTCTTGGAAAAGGAGTAGAACCTGGCTGGTGTGGCTCAGTGGTTGAGCATTGACCTATGAACCAAGAGATCAAGGTTCAATTCGCAGTCAGGGCACATGCTCAGGTTGCGGGCTTGATCCCTAGTGGGGGGTGTGCAGGAGGCAGCTGCTCAATTATTCTCTTTCATCATTGGTTTTTCTATCTCTCCCTCTCCTTTCCTCTCTGAAATCAATAAAAAAAATACATATACTAGTGTATATAAATTTAAAATATATTTTTCTAGTGTTTTAAAAATATATTTTTATTGATTTCAGAGAGAAAGGGAGAGGGAGAGAGAGATAGAAACATCAATGATGAGAGAATGAGAGAGAATCACTGATCGGCTGCCTCCTGCACACCCTCCACTGGCATGTACCATTGACCGGAATTGAATCTGGGACCCTTCAGTCCACAGGCCAATGCTCTATCCACTGAACCAAACCAGCTAGAGCTATTTTTCTAGTTTAACTGCGAATCAAGGCCACAATCCAGGCATGTGCCAAGACCAGGAATCAAACCATGATCTCCTGATTCATAGGTTGATGCTCAACCACTGAGCCACTCTGGCTAGGCAATAAAACAAAAAAATGTATATTTTTAAAAGCTGCCATAAGCCTCTTGGTAAATAAACCTTTGCATGTGTTCCCAATACTTTAATTAGAATAAGGTCCTAATGAAACAAAGGATAGACATTGTTTTTGGAATCTTTGGACACATACTGCCCAATTGCCCTTGAGAAAGGTCAAAGCTGCCATTGGCCGAGTTCCTTTGGCGGTTGGACATCCTCACGCTGGCACTGTCCTTGGTGCTGAGGGTTCTGCCGAGGCAGGTGCGGCTCTGCTCAGGGCACTCCGTCTTGCTGGGGGTCGGCAGGATGTAACAGAGTGGACAGCGGCAGATGCCAAGAGAATGCTAACGAGGGGTGAAGGCATGGCATGAGAGCAACTTTCTATCAGGTGGCTCAGGGACCTCTCCTATCACGACATGAACACAGAAACCCGGAACGCTGGTGCCCAGCTCCCCAGCCCTGAGTAGCATCACCCATTTCAGTCAGTGAGGTAGAGGGCCTGAGGGTGATGTCCTTTGGAGAGTGTATTAAGCACCCACTATGTTCTGGATGCTGGAAAGAAAACAAAGCATCAGGTCAGCGGACTAGATAGCGTTAGGGTTTAGACTCAGCTCTCAAGAAATGCCAAGTTCCTCAAACGAATAGAAGAACTCGTCCTCGCTGAGGAGGCTGGGGTTCAAATGGGGAATTGGCCTCATCATCAACCTCTGGCTTGGGCCTTGGGAAACCTACTTCTGACCCTCAATTATCCCCTCTGAAAAAGAGGAAATAGCCCTAACCGGTTTGGCTCAGTGGATAGAGCATCGGCCTGCAGACTGAAGAGTCCCGGGTTCGATTCTGGTCAAGGGCATGTACCTTGGTGGTGGGCATATCCCCAGTAGGGGGCATGCAGGAGGCAACTGATCAATGTTTCTCTCTCATTGATGTTTCTCTCTATCCCTCTCCCTTCCTCTCTGTGGAAAATCAATAAAATATATTTTTAAAAAGAGAAAATACTCTCATTTATTCTTACAAGTTTGAATTATTTATATAAAAATGCTTACTAAATTTTTCCAAGGCCTATCTCCCCACCTGCCCCCACTTTGGAGAGTTGAGTATTAGTAGAAAGGGTAGCTTTCTTCTTTGGGCCACCAGTTTTTGAGACCAGGAGTGTTGTGTGTGGTTTCTGCGCTGCACAGCCTCTTCTGGAGCCCTCTCCCCGGCCACCAAGGCCTTCCCCGCCCCCTCCCAGCCCTTCCCCCAGGGCAGCCACCGCCCCTGCCTCCTCAGAGGGCCTCACCCAGGACTGAGGGACGGACCCACCGCTGTGGGTTTGCTGTGTGTGGCCCAGGACACCCCTCCCAGTCCTGCCTTTGACTTCTAGTTCTGAGGAAGAGGCCGTGTTTCCCTTGGCACCCATGGGAGACGGAGGTCCAAAGCCGAGAGGTTTGCTGGAAAGGAGACATCCATCGGGATTCTGATGGTCTGCCCGCCCCCAGGCCCCGGTGCTGGCTAGTCCTGCTGCTCTGATGGTCAGGCCACCCTCTTGGCCCTGAACTTCCAGCACCTTGGTTCTTCCTGTACCTCTTCTGGCCTGCGTTTCCGGTGGATGGATGTGCCATCTGTCAGGGTGAAGATGATGTCTCTGATGGGCTTTGGCTGGGGCTTTCAGAGGGATAAATACAATGTCTGCTTTAAAAGCATGCATATTGCCCTGGCTGGTTTGGCTCAGTGGATAGAGCGACCACCTGAGGACTGTGAGTTGGTACCTGCTGGCTGTGGTAAATGAGCTATTGATTAGCTATTCTCATCAACAGTGTGGGTCCTGGGACAAGAGAGAGCTATTGGGGGAAGTTCAGTGGAGAAAGTTGCGGGGGGTGGAGGAGGGGAGGAGAATAAGATTGAACTTTGGAGGATGAACTCCTTTTTTATCTTCCTAGGGAAAATATTTCCCTCATTATTTTATTTATTTATTTATTTATTTATTTATTTATTATTATTTTTTATTGCCCTAGCCAGTGTGGCTCAGTGGATAGAGCATCAGCCTGCGTACTGAAGGGTCCCTGGTTTAATTCCGGTCAAGGGCATGTACCTTGGTTGCAGTCACATCCCCAGTAGGGGGTGTGCAAAAGGCAGCTGATCAATGTTTCTAACTCTCTCTCCCTCTCTCTTCCTCTCTGTAAAAAAATCAATTAAGTATATTTTTTAAAAAAGAATATATATATATATATATATATATATATATATATATATGTTTTATTGATTTCAGAGAGGGAGACAGAGAGAGAGAAAGAGAGATAGAAAACACCAATGATGAGAGAATCATTAATCAGCTGCCTCCTGCAGGCCCCCTACTGGGACTGAGCCCATAACCCAGCACCTGGGACCCTTCAGTCTGCAGGCCAACACTCTGTCCACTGAGCCAAACTAGCCAGAGCCAAATTATTTTCTTAACTTCACTCTGACAATTTGAGAGTCAGAGAAGTTGCATCAATTCCTATGTATACTTCACTTAGATTCCCTAAATCTTAATTGGACCACATCTGCTTTATCCTTTTCCCTCTAAGTACAATATGTTTTTCAGAACCATTTGAGAGTAAGCCACAGTTATGATGCTGCTTTACCCCAAACTGAATGTGTAATTCTTAAACCCAAGGGTATTTTCCTATGGAACCAAGGTTAAGGGATCAGAACGAGGGCTTTGCCAGTAAATTAGCATGGGTGCATTGCGAAGTCTACAGACGTCGTTCAGATTTTGTCAGTTATCCCCGAAACATTCTTCACAGCAAAAGAAAACCCAGGATCATGTGTTTGCGTTCAGCTGCCTCTTTATTCCAAGGTTTGAAGCAGCCCCTCCTTCGGCTCTGCCCTCTCCCGGAGGTCTGGCTGAGGCCCCAGCTCTGGGTGAGCCAGCGGCTGCTTGAGGGAGGAGGCTTGAAGGGAGGCCTTTTCCCTCCTCCATCTGACCAGCTTCCCAGAGTGCCCTTTTGTCCCAACGGATGGATCAGAGAGAGCCTAGGGGGCCTATATCTCCCCTCCAGCGATGAGAGAAGGGAATTATGGCAGCACAAGGAAGCGGCTCGGCTCCTTTCCCACCAAAGTCCTCAAAGTTCTTCTTTCCCCATCCGTTCCTGGTCAGCTCCTGCCTGGGATATGGATCCTGGCAACCTCTTGGGTCCTGCTGCCAAAGATTTAGTATAAGTCGGGGTCTTACAGTCAGGTTTGGAGACCTCCTCTATCAGAGACTGATTTATAAGCAGTCTTGGTGTTTGCAGGTGACCCTCCCTTAATTGTATATCGTGTATAACATTTTTTGGGGGGTTGCTTGGATACAGGAGGGTTATAGTAATAACAAGACTAGTAACCACTTATTGTGGACTTAATACGCTCTCTACACAGTTATCTCATTTAATGTTCACAATATCATGTACCCATTTTAAAGATAAGGAAAACTGAGGTTGAAGGAGGTCTAATTAGTAGCCTGTCCAAGGGCATATAGCTATTAGCTAGCCAAGACAGGACTACATCTGCCTGTCTTCACAGCTCAGGACTCAAGCCACTCTGTTCTAACTGTATAAATGTCCTTTGTTGTAGAATAAATTATTTGCTTCATAATGTGTGTAATTGATTTAATGTAGTTCTGGCTGTTTCATCACGCAAGACACCCCCCACCCCCCCCCACCCCCCCCCCAGGCCCTGAGACTGGGCCGGGGGAAGAGGAGGGCCCGGAAGCTCCAGTAAAAACCAGTCTGGAAGCTTTCAAAACGGGAAACTCGTGGTCCTCCAGCGTTGCCTGCAGTTGCCAGCAGTGCCCACTAGGGGGAAGCCGACGCCACGCAGCGCCTCTCTCTCTCCCTCTTCTCTCTGGTTAGCGTGGGAAAGAGCCCGCCTCCTGTCCCATAAGGCCCTGCTCCGGAAACTTCACTCTCTCTTCCTGTCTCTCATCATGGCGGTGAGTAACCGGGGCCCGGGGTAGCTTCCCTTCATCCGCCTCCATCCGCGGCCGGCCGAGCCCCCGAGGGCTGCCTCGTCCGCAGCCCGAGGAGGACGGAGTCGTCGCTACTCGGCCGCCCCGCAACTTCGGAGCCCTGCGGCCCGAGAGCGCAGAGCCGGCCCCGGCGCCTCCCTCACGTCCTCCTCGGAGCGAGCCGGGGCAGCCGGCCGGAGGCTCCGAAGCACGGGCCCTGGGCGGCAGCGAGAGCGAGCGGCTCGAACGAAGGGGGCCGCACCGGCTTCCGACCCCGAGGACCTGGGGCTTGGCCGGTGCTGGGAACCCCGGCCGGGACCTCCGCACCGGGAGGGCCGGCCTTTTGCTGCAGCCCTGGCGCTGCTTCCGAGTGGGATGCGGGACGCGGCACCAGCACGTGCTTCCCGTTTCCTTAACAGCTAAATCCTGTATTTTCTTTGCCCTTGTTGGCCTTATAATGGGGCGCTCCCCGTCACCCTTCATGTTGGGCCCCTGGGGGAGGTTCACCCTCCGTGTCTATAACCTTGGTCCTCGGGGCCTGCCCGGCGTTTCTCTCCCCTCTGCCGCGCGGGCGGAAGGAACAGGGCCCCGAGCTGCCTCCCGGACGGGCACGGGACGTTTGCTCAGGGCCCGGGGCTTCCGGCAGGAGGGGGGCTGAGCGGAGGGAAACGTGCAAAGTGGAGGGAGAGCGCTGGCGGCTGCGGGCGGTGACCCTGCGCCCCCTGTTCACAGCAGGACCAAGGGGAGAAGGAGAACCCCATGCGGGAACTGCGCATCCGCAAGCTCTGCCTCAACATCTGCGTGGGGGAGAGCGGGGACAGGCTGACGCGGGCGGCCAAGGTGCTGGAGCAGCTCACGGGCCAGACCCCGGTCTTCTCCAAAGGTGAGTGGCGGCGCGGAGGGGGCTGGAGGCCGGTCAGCCGGGGCGTGTAACTCCCGTTTTGAAAGGGACAGATGACATCCCTTAAAAGCATTGGCTTTGGGGCCTGACTTCCGCCTAACCCAAGGAGTGTCTCCCTTTTAGGGCTGGTTGTGGCGTTTGGACTACAAGGTTTTCATGGGAGCAGAGATGAGGACTTGCCCAAGCGAAGATTTTTTTTTTTTTTTCTTCCAAGAAAGGGATGGGGCAGAGGGGAAACGCTGGGGAGGCAGTAAATGGTATTAGGCCTGATTAGCAGGTAGGGTTATGTAGGCGACGTTGAGAACAGGGTCAAGTTGTGTTGCTTTAAGATAGTGGAATATGGCAAGTCCTCGGGTTCAAATCCCACCTCTTATTGCCAGCTGTGATCTTAGACACGTTAGTCTCTCAGAACCTCATCTGTAAAATGGGGATGACTGTCCATTAAGGTTTTAGCAAACATTAGCTATCGTTGTCCTCATGTTTCATTTTTTGTAGAACACAGTGGTCACCTTCCTTTCTAGGGGCCTATTCTGGTTGTGGACTTGCCTTCCTGAGACCTTGACATTACCACTGAGCTCTTAATGGCTTAAGGGTGGCTGAGAGACTTGGAGTTGGAAAAGTCTGTGTTACACATGAAACCAATGAAAAGATGGAGGCGACACTGTTAGAAGACCACCCCTCGGAGTGTGGCCTGATCCTTAGTGTCTCTTTGGAGTGAGGGAGGTGGTGATCTGGGGGAAAGGCAGTGGGAGTGTGACCGCACCTGACTGACTCCCTGGTACTCCCCGGCCTGCAGCCAGGTACACCGTCAGATCCTTTGGCATCAGGAGAAATGAGAAGATTGCTGTCCACTGCACAGTCCGCGGGGCCAAGGCAGAAGAAATCTTGGAGAAAGGTCTAAAGGTGAGGTCCATCTGGTCATGGGGTGATGCTAATGGGCACCAGTTTAACACGTTCCTTTTTTTAAAAGTATAATTAGCATAACTTTGCATTAATTTCATGTGTACAGTATGCTATTCGTTGAAATTATCACAGTAAATCTGACTACCACCCGTCACTGTACAAAATTAAAAAATAATTTTTTCTTGTGATGAGAACTTTTAAGATTTACTGTTAGCAACTTTCAAATGTGCAAGGTATTATTAATCATGCTGTATATTACATCCCCATGACTTATAACTGGAAGTTTGTCCCTCTAGACTAGGGGTGTCGAACTCAATCAGAGAAGGGGCCAAAATCTAAAATCCAGCCTAAATCGCGGGCCGAATGGTTTACTGAACAGTCATAAACTGTCATTGTGATGGAAACGCAGCGGAGTGCAGTGATGACAGCGCAGTGCAGGCCACATTGCAAGGCCTGGCGGGACGGATTTGGCCCGCGGGCCTTGTGTTTGACACATGTGGTCTAGACCCGCGCGTGCGCGCGCGCGCGCACGCACACACACACACAGCAACCACCAATCTTTTTTTGTGTTTGTTTTTTTGTGTTGTGTTTTTTGTTGTGGTGGTGGTTGTTGTTTTTTAATATTTCTATTGATTTTTACAGAGAGGAAGGGAGAGAGATAGAGAGCTAGAAACGTCGATGAGAGAGAAACATCGACCAGCTGCCTCTTGCACACCCCCTACAGGGGATGTGCCCGCAACCAACGTACATGCCCCTGACCAGAATCGAACCCGGGACCTTTCAGTCCACTGAGCCAAACTGGTTTCGGCTTGTGTTTTTTTGTTTTTTAATCTAGGAGTTTTGTTTTTTAGATTCCACCTGTAAGTGAAATGATGGTGTTTCTCTGTCTAATTTATTTCATTTAGCCTAATACTCTCAAGGTCCTTGGCATTATTTCAGATGGCAAGATTTCTTTTTTTTTTTATGGCTGAGTAGTATTCCAGTGTGTGTGTGTCACATATTTATCCATTCATCCCCTACTGAACACTTAAGTTTTCATATCTTGACTATTGTAGATAATGCTATAGTGAACATAGGGTTGCATGTGTCTTAATTTTTTGGAAAACCATAGTGATTTCCATAGTGGCTGCACATTCCCACCATCAGAGCACAAAAGTTTCCTTTTCTCCATATCCTGACAACACATATCTTTTATAATAGCCATTCTGCCTGGTGTGAGATGTTATTCCATTGTGGTTTTGATCTGCTTTTCCCTGAAGGGAGGGAGGGAGGGTGGGGGGTGGGGGAATCTTATTTGTTGCTCCACCTGTTCAGGCACTCATTAATTCTTGTATGTGTTCTGACTGGGGATCGAACCTGCAACCTTGTGTAAGGGGTCGACACTATAACCAACTGAGCTGTCCAGCCAGGGTCATCTGTATGTCTGAACTTCTAAAGGATTCGTCCTGCATTTGGCAGAGTTAAACTACAAACTACACTCTGATGTTTCCCTGGGTTTTTCCCTGCCCTTGGGAGGAGGGAACGTTCTGTGAAATCCATAGTAGGGGTGTGATTTGTGAAGTGGAGAAACCAGATTTTGTTTCTGGTCAGATTGTATTTCTGGGGTGCTGAGTGATACAAGCGAAGTTCATTATTTGGGGGGAATTTGGGTTGACAAGGAGTGTGATTGCTACGTTATCTCCGCAGGTGCGAGAATACGAATTACGGAAAAACAACTTCTCAGATACTGGAAACTTTGGTTTTGGGATCCAGGAACACATCGACCTGGGGATCAAGTATGACCCGAGCATTGGTATCTACGGCCTGGACTTCTATGTGGTATGGATATTTGTCTTTTCCGCTTCTCTGGGAGGACGTGCAATCGCTGCTCCTTCATCTCTGTGTGCTGTTTATGTTCAGGTGTTGGGTTGGAACTTTGAGTGTTGTCTGCCTTTGTATTCTTTCCCTTTGGAAGGTGTGCCTCATCTGTGCCGTGTTTAGGGATGCAGCACGGACCTAGACTGACAAGGTCATTGCTAGTGTGAAGCTTAAAGTCTAGGATCTAGCAGCCACCAATATGGCTGTAGAATGGAGCAAGAAACAACGTCATCCAGCCACTGGATTGAAAATATGAGAGCGAGCGTTGGGCACCTCATTGGCATTTGGGTTGGCTGCACTGAGGCTGCTCTTTCCCGCTCCTTCCCCTAAGCCCCTGCGGGAGGGTGGCTCCCATCCAGAGCGCAGGTTTGGTGATGTGGCTGGTTTGTGTCATGGGATTCCAATGTAGGAATGACCATTTGTGTTACTGTTATGCTTTGGTCCAACATCAAACTAAATAGCAAAAACCAGAAGTCCTGACTAGTGTGGAGCCTGAATGATGGCAGCACCCTGTCAGATTTGGATATCCAAACAGTAATGAGAATCCGGTGCTCGTTGGGAATCAGGGAACAGCAATCCTAAATTAGGACTTTGCATTGAAGTGGAAGGAGAGAAATAAAACTATTTCTTTGTAACTTCTCAGAATTTTAAATATAATACATATGTAGTAAGATTGTCCTTAATATTACTTTTAAAAATTGGGAAGCAGTGGTGGAGAATCCTTGGCTGCCACTGGAAGGGAGGGGGAGGTAGGGAAGAGGGCAGGTGCAGCCAAGTTCACCCTCCAAACCAAACCTATAGTGTGTGGTGGTGTGTTGTCCAGGGTGCTGGTATCTGTTCCAGAATTACTGGGCCACCAGATGACTTGAAGATCGATCTTCAATGTGTGAGTCTTGTCTGTCCGCTGTGACTCTGAGCTGGCTAGGTGACTGTTGGTTATTCCTGGGACAGGTGCTGGGTAGGCCAGGTTTCAGCATCGCAGACAAGAAACGCAGGACAGGCTGCATTGGGGCCAAACACAGAATCAGCAAAGAGGAGGCCATGCGCTGGTTCCAGCAGAAGGTAAAGCTGACTTATCTCAGGTGACATGGTGGAATGTGGTGAATGGAGTTGGGATTTGGGGGTGTAAAATCAGCCACCAATTGGCTGGCAGCTTCTTTGAAGATATAATATTTGAGCAGCTTGGCAAGTGGGGGCTTCCAGGGTTAATGGTGTAAAAGAATGCCTAGAATCAGGCCTTTCTGATTCTCCACCCCCATCAATGCTGACAGCTCGGAGGGTGGGAAAACGGCTCTCCGAAGAGCACCTTTTTCTTGGGATATAGTGCAGTTGAGCACAGTGTAGCAGTTGTTAAAACTGGCCGGTTTCCTGTTTAGTTCAAAGTGGGTATGGGATTCGGAGCAAAATTCATGTATTAGATTTGACTCCTCAATGAAACAATAGCCATTGCTGCGATCTTTGCTATTGCCTCCTGTTCTGAAAAAAAAAAAATCTCTTCTCTTTCAGTATGATGGCATCATCCTTCCTGGCAAATAAATTCCCGTTTCTATGCAAAAGGCCAATAAAATGTTTTCAGTGAAATGTACGTTACTGTGTGTGTTCTGTGAAAGGAGCCTGGCCATATTCAAGTCCCTGGACCTCAAGCCATTAAAGCTTCGATGGGAATAGCTGGTAACGACCCTGTCCTGAGTGGATGCCAGTGCTTCTGGCAGGTCTAAGCCCAAGCTTTACAGCATCGCCTGTGCTCGCCACACCCTGGGTGACAGGCTGTGGTGCAGCAGTCCCAGGAGACTGGGTTTAGAGGGGAAGGTGATTGGGGCTGGGGTTAGAGCCTTGATTAAAGGTAGGATGCAGTGTTTCCATGTTCCGGGAGGCTCCCCCTCACTCAGTGATTCTGTTCTTTAGGGGTTTCACTGACGATGATGCCTGGTGAAGGGATTACAGGCTTCGGTGTGATGCTTGGGGTTAAATTTTGGTTTAACTGTTCAGACACTGTTTTCCTTTAAAATGAGAGTCTATAAGGTTGTTAAGAGGCAATATAAGGAGGGAGGAGGGTAGCCTTTGAAGCAAGTTTTCTGGATTGATTCCCACCATCTTCTAGGAGTGTTAACTTTAAACACGTTAATCCCTGCCTTGGTTTTCTCATCTGTGTCATGGAGGCAATAGTAACGTCCCTCAGAGGCTAAATGAATTAGTAGTTGTAGAATGTCTAGACTGGGCCGAAACCGGTTTGGCTCAGCGGTAGAGCATCGGTCTGTGGACTGAAAGGTCCCAGGTTCGATTCCCGTCAGGGGCATGTACATTGGTTGTGGGCACATCCCCAGTAGGGGGTGTGCAAGAGGCAGCTGGTCGATGTTTCTCTCTCGACGTTTCTAGCTCTCTATCTCTCTCCCTTGCTCTCTGTAAGAAAAATCAATAAAATACGTTAAAAAAAAAAAAAAAAGAATGTCTAGGCTGGTACCAGGTATATGGTGCTCAAAAGGGATAGGTGTTAATGGATGAGAAATGTTTCTCATAATCAGTTTGCTCCCCCTTTAGTGTGAAAGGGGAATTTTCTTAACTGTATATTTCCAGGTCACTGAAGCAGTGACATTCAAAAGCCACCATTTCTAACCTACTCTCTTGTGACTAACAAGTTCAGTTGTCCTTGGACCATCTTTTCATTGCTGTTCATGGTGCTGTAATGTTAGCTGTCTTCACAGATACATTAAAACCCACAGATTAGCCGAGACCGGTTTGGCTCAGTGGATAGAGCGTCGGCTTGGGGACTGAAAGGTCCCGGGTTCGATTCGGTCAATGGCATGTACCTTGGTTGCGGGGCATGTCCCCAGTGGGGTGTGTGCAAGAGGCAGCTGATAGATGACTCTCTCTCATCGATGTTTCTAACTCTTATCTCTCTCCCTCCCTGTAAAAATCAATAAAATATATTTAAAAAAAATAAAACCCACAGATTAGTTGGTGAGCCTAGTTTTTTTTTTTTGAAAATGTGACTTATCTTGTCTTCCTGATAAAGTCTTCTTACCCAATAAGACCAAATCCAGTTGGCTACAGGGAAGAATCATGAAATATGTTGCCATATACATTTTATTTCACTTAAAATATAAATATTAACTGCTTCTCAATCTTTTACTGTAGGGCCAGGGCTGCTATCTTGTAAACAGAATGAGAACTTGTGCAGGGGTCTTGATTCTTGTAATTCAGCTTTATTTTTTATAGGGAGCCTCATTCATTTTAGCTTCTATAATTATAGTAACAATTGAAATGAATGTTTTCTTTAAAAATATATTTTATTGATTTTTCTTACAGAGAGGAAGGGAGAGAGAGAGAGAGCTATTGTAGAAACGTCCATGAGAGAGAAACATCGACCAGCTGCCTCTTGCACACCCCCTACCGGGGATATGCCCGCAACCAATGCACATGCCCCTGACCGGAATCGAACCTGGGACCCTTCAGTCTACAGACCGACGCTCCACCGCTGAGCCAAACCGGTTTCGGCTGAAATGAATATTTTTTAGAACAAATTCTTGGTGAATAGCTACAGTGTTGGGTGCTAACTGCTATGGGAAGTTGCATGTTGTACAGATGAGATGGAGGAGAGCATTTGCCAGTTTTATCTAAAAGCACATCAGAAATATGGACAGTGACAATCCCTCTACTGCTGTCCTTGTGCATGTTAGTGATAGTGCTTTGCTCTATCTGTATGTTTTTATATTTGTATTACTACTTAATTTTAACAGTATAAGCCTGCCTACCCTTCATTAGGTCCTGCTGTATTCTCAGTTGAATTAATTTCTGTTTTAAAATTAAACTTCCTGGGCTCCTGGCACATTGAAAAAATAACTCTTGGGAGTTCAGAGATCTAGCTGGGTTCCAGTGCTAGCTCTAGCTATATTTTAAGTGAGTCATGAAACATCTTGGGGACTGGAGCGAGTTGGGGTACTTCCCTATCCAGTTCAGAGCAGATAGTATCAGGAAGGCTTACCCTCTGTTCTGGTTAGAAGCTTGGTTCCAAAAAGATGTAACACTGGGCTCTGCAGCATTGATATTTGGGTTGAGCTGCTAGAAGTTGGATGGGATCACATGGGAATTGTTGAAACTCTTGGGCCCTGCCTCAGACCTCTACTGTATTAGGACTTAAAGAAAATTGTGGGAGCATGCATATGTTGTTTTGAACTGTTAGGTAGAAAATAACATAATAACTTTATGCCAGGTTACTATTTTAATTTTATTTATAGATTTTCTAGCAAGGGGAAAGGAGAAACATCTGTTTTTTGTTTCACTTATTTATGCATTCATTGTTAAATTATTGTATATGCCCTGACCAAGGATTGAACCTGCAACTTTGGCGTATTGGGATGACACTAACCAACTGAACTACCCGGCCAGGTGCCAAATAACTTGAATGAAAAGTCACACATTTGTCGATGTTTCTCTCTCATCAGTGTTTCTAGCTTCCTATCCCTCTCTCTTCCTCTCTGTAAAAAAATCAATAAAATACATTTAAAAAAACAAAAGTCAAATGATAGGACTAAGGACAATAGGTTCTCTCCCCTATTGGAAACACTGGTTGGCAAACATGGCTAATTTATCTTCTAGGGTTTTTTTTGTGTTTTTTTTTAACATAATTGAGGAAACTTGCTATAATTTTAACTTGCCTTTTTTCCTTTTAATTATGTAAGGGTATAGTGGCTTCATAATATGCCACTTAGACGTGTAGGACATAGAGCCTTATCTATGTGACCAGCACTGAAGGTCAGGAATGTCCGTTCCATAGAACTGCCCCAGTAGAGGTGTGTGTGTGTGTAAAACATTTAAAAAAAATATTTTTATTGATTTCATAGAGGGAGATGAGAGAATCATTGGCTACTTCTTGCATGCTACCCTTTGGAGACCTGAACCCCCAACCCGAGCATGTGCCCTTGACCTTTCAGTCTGCAGGCTGATGCTCTATCCATGGAACCAACCCAGCTAGGGCTTTTTATCCTGTTGACCTGGTCCTCTGTCCAGTATCTGTAAAATCCTTGCATAATGTCTTCAAACTGTAAGATGGTGTGGTATATTGTAGTTGAATGCTAAACTGGAAAAATCAGAGTTCTCACTTCTCTGCTTCCTCTATTAGAATTGTGACAAGGAAGTTAACAAAGCAAATTGCAGCTTTCCGGGTTCTTCGGAGCAGGCTGGACTTTTGGATTTTGTGTATAACCATTTTTCCTGCAGTTTTACCACCTGCTAATCCCAATCTGTCAAGCTTCACACATGCTGAGGTGCTTTAGCGACTGGTGTGTAAAGACCACAACGAGAAGGCTGCCAGAGGTCTGAGTCCTGAAGGGTGAAGGCCCAGGCTTCCTAGGTGAATGGTGAGGTTGGGGCCCAGAAAACAAATAGTTTAAGCTGCCAGCCTCTAGGGACCTGACTGGTGCCTGGGGGTACAAAACCACTTTCAGAGCAGCTTGTTATGGAAACCTCAGTTTGTGGTTGTCAAAGGGGAATCCAACCTGAGGCACCCGGGGGCACCAGGAGGACTTGAACTTGACTATGTTCAAGATGTAGGTACAGGAAGCTTGAGACACAAATACAGATGGATTGTTTTCACAGGTCTGAACAAGAAGGAGTGTGATTGTACTGATTGAGAAAATTAATTTGCTTTTAAAATGTGTATATTTGTCACTTGCTTTTATTTGCTCTGCTATAAATGTCCCTTACCTAGTCTGAAAGTTGCTTGAAAGGCAAAGGCATTCAACAATTAAGGCAGAAATGATGTTCAAGACTCCCTCAGTGAACCTGGTGAACATAATGCTTTGACAAGTTAAACCTTTTAACATCTTGTTGATAGTCTGGAAGTGTGTATTTGTGTTTTTGTTTTTTTTGTTTTTTTGCTTTCAAAGATTGGTTCTGGTTAAACATATGGTATATCATAGTGGATCAGATCACAGCATTTGAAATTTAGACTTCTCAAATTCCTTATAGGTCCCTGGCAGGTAGGATTGGCTCCCTATGAAGACTCCCACTGGCTGCCATCTGGCCCTTCTTCC